CTGACTACACCTGAAAGTGCATAGTGATTTCCCTAAATTTCAATCTATTATGGAGACAATGTGAAAGAGAAGCTATCATGAAATCAAGACAGCTTCATTTTTTTTTAATGCCTGGTAACTTCCTGCCATAAAGCTAATTAAATTAAGAACAATGTAATTTATTTTAATGATTTCTTTTTTTAGTTATTGACTGTTTTGTTTTTATAACAGCTTTTCGTCCGATGCATATTTCAGCTTTGTTTGGTTAAATGTAGTGTCTGACAAACCATCTCAGTCTTATAGAAAGAATTGATGATTAATACTGTTTAAAAAATTATGAAACTGTATTAACTGTATTTATTCTGGATGTACATACCATATATATATATATATATATATATATATATATATATATATACAGTGCTGTTCGATAAAAATGACTCACCTTATCCTTTGAATTTAGCTCAACTTTCGTTTCATGGAAGAAGAGAACATTCTTCCATCTTCTACGGTGAAATTTTTGTAATAGTGGGCCCATTCAAGTCTCTTGGCTTTGTTGGCTTTGCTTATTAGCGGCTTAACCTCTGTTGAAGAGGCAAGACTAACACCTTGCTCTTCACTTAGACTGGCTGCAATTTCTTGGCTAGTTATAGTCCTATTCTTTGCAACTTCTCTCTTCATTACCCTGCCAGTTCTATCATCAATCTTTTTCTTTCGTCCCCTTGTTTCCTTCCTTGGAGCAGGAGTGGCATCATTATATGCCCTAAGCATTTGAATGACAGTTGATTGTGAGGTTATAGCAATTTCTGCAATTTCTCTTGTAGACTTGCCTGCTTTTAAGAGGGCAATAATAGATGCCTTAAGTGGTTCTGATGAGTATTTGTACCCTTTCATCTGGTTAGTGATTGAGAGGCTATTTCAAGCTGTTTTTATACTGTATGAGGCTATCTGGAATATTCTGGAATACTCTAGATTTAATTTAAGGTGTTCTAGAATTCTCTAGAACATTGTTCTGAGTGTATTGTAAAATAGTTTTCAATATTTTGTCAAAAGCTCTTTAAATTTACCAGTTTAATCATTAGAATGCGATATCTGAGTCATTTTTTATGCACAGAGTTTTTTCCTGAATCTCATTTATATCCAAATTTATAATTATCAATAGAATACCTTAAGGTGAATAAACTTTTTTCCTAGGTGGTCGGGAAGGGGTCTTTATATTAGTAAGATTAAAAATGATTTTAACCCCCAAAACAATAGACAAAAAATATTTTTAGTAAAAAAAATCAGGTGAGTCACTTTTATTGAACAGCACTATATATATACATATATATATATATATATATATATATTACAGCAAAAATCTCAAATTACTTTATGTGGGTATAGTCTATTTCAGATCGGCATAACAATGCCAATCTTCATTGGCCGTGAATGCCTTTTGGAATGTCTGTCTGGACTTGTGGCTTTGTATTTATGTTAGGCAGCAGTCCTACTCAGAGGGACACCTTGTTTTTGATAAGGAACTTGTATTGGTGACAAAGGGAGGTCATAAGGGATGTATTTAAATAGAAGTCATCTGGGGTCAGAGTTTATTTATGGCTCTAGTCTTTAGTTGTATGTAAATGGATTTCAGTTCTTGCTATGGGATGCTACTTTATACCAACAACCAGTGTGTTTTACTAGAATTTACAGTAAGTGGTATTTAGACAGTAAGGGTTTGCCTCAGATTCCAGTTTCCAATCCAATATCCATTACGTTGTACAATTACATAGGCTGTTTAAAAAGTTGCTTTTTTTCTGTCTGATAAATAACCATATCACTATTAAAAGTGAATAGTCTATACAGGAAGAAGAATGATAATTATCTGAGCAAAGTTTAGGAAATGAGTGAGTTTAATTCTCCAACATAGGTTTAAACTTAATGGGTGTAAACTTAGAAAATACATTTACAATTTCTATTTTCCATGTTTATTAATTGGGTTACTTAGAAATGTGTTGACTTCAATCAGTTAGAAAGAGTGTGTCAATGTAGAATTTCTGAATTAGTGGCATAAACTTGTGATGTTTATTGCTATACATGAGACTTTGCATACTGTAGGTAGATTATCTAATTAAACTTGCTGCATGTAGAATGATAACTGAATGCTGCTAAACTGCTTGGACATTAAAATATAGTAAATTCCGGTATTGGGTTAGAAAGAAGAAAAGTTTATATTGTTTTTCAATAGGTTATGTTTGAACACATGTTTGTATCACATGTCTGAAAGTTAATTACATATATATAAATATTCTGAAAGGTGACATTTCAACATCTTTCTATATGAATCATATGTATATTGGGAATTTTAAACTTTTTACATTAACAGTAAAAATGAAAAAAAAACAAGGTGCAATTTTGTCATTTGATGCTCTTTTATTCCCAGAGAGAAAAATCACTGGACAAATGACACCAAAGATATGTACCATTTATGTAGATGGTGCTGAGAGTACTGTTTTTAAGTAGGTTTTGCTAGGTTCAGGTGTGGAAATTTTTACCTGTAAGACCAAAAACACTAATTAAAAATGACTCAGGTCGCATGATATTACAGATATAGTGATTTTCCAAGCATAACTTAGATGTGGCACAAGGCCGAAAGTATGGGGCACCCAGTGAGGATCGAACTCACTACTCAGTCGTAATTGTTCTAGTGAGCCATGCTTGCTAACCATTACACCACCTCGAGGTGCCCAAGGATATTACATATATACTCCACATATGAGCATTTGAAAACATTTGGACATGTAAATTGCTATGATATTTAAGTGCCTTATGATTTAATAGTAAACAAATATAATGGATTGCATTTCCATCTGCAATTCTCTGCTCAAACTTATATCTTCTTGACTTATGGAACAAGTAAGCCTGGTGAAACAACCCTTCTCCAGCCAACCTGCCAATCACTCTGTAAAAATCGATCACTGATGAAAGGGATCGGTAAGATAGATTTTTCTCTTAAGGTACTTAAGACATCTTGCAGTAATTTCTTTTAAAAATATTAATTTCCTAAACTGAGATAAAAGGAGTTTAAATGAAATGAAATTTTGTTAACTAAGCAAAATTGTTTCATTAACAAAATTATTTTCTCAAAACTCTTGCCTTTGAGCAGAGAATTGCAGATGGAAATGCAATCCATTATATTTGTTTACTATTAAATCATAAGGCACCTAAATATCATAGCAATTTACATGTCCAAATGTTTTCAAATGCCTTAAGGCTTACAATACATTGCTCATATGTGGAGTATATCTGTAATATCCTTGGGCACCTCGAGGTGGTGTAATGGTTAGCAAGCATGGCTCACTAGAACAATTACGACTGAGTAGTGAGTTCGATCCTCACTGGGTGCCCCATACTTTCGGCCTTGTGCCACATCTAAGTTATGCTTGGAAAATCACTATATCTGTAATATCATGCGACCTGAGTCATTTTTAATTAGTGTTTTTGGTCTTACAGGTAAAAATTTCCACACCTGAACCTAGCAAAACCTACTTAAAAACAGTACTCTCAGCACCATCTACATAAATGGTACATATCTTTGGTGTCATTTGTCCAGTGATTTTTCTCTCTGGGAATAAAAGAGCATCAAATGACAAAATTGCACCTTGTTTTTTTTTCATTTTTACTGTTAATGTAAAAAGTTTAAAATTCCCAATATACATATGATTCATATAGAAAGATGTTGAAATGTCACCTTTCAGAATATTTATATATATGTAATTAACTTTCAGACATGTGATACAAACATGTGTTCAAACATAACCTATTGAAAAACAATATAAACTTTTCTTCTTTCTAACCCAATACCGGAATTTACTATATTTTAATGTCCAAGCAGTTTAGCAGCATTCAGTTATCATTCTACATGCAGCAAGTTTAATTAGATAATCTACCTACAGTATGCAAAGTCTCATGTATAGCAATAAACATCACAAGTTTATGCCACTAATTCAGAAATTCTACATTGACACACTCTTTCTAACTGATTGAAGTCAACACATTTCTAAATGACCCAATTAATAAACATGAAAAATAGAAATTGTAAATCTTTTTTCTAAGTTTTCTTATACACCCATAATGGAGAAATAATTAAACTCACTCAAAAACTCTTTCTTTATTGAAATCATGGTATTTTTCGACAAATTCTTTTTTTCTCTTGCAAGTCGTTTTTTATGTCATAGCTACTTTTACTTTTTTTTTTTTTTTAACTAAGACAGTGTCAACAACTTTTCAAACCCTAATATTTCAGGTTCTATATTGAACGCAAGTGATTTTTACATTTTACATTAAAAGTAAAACCTTCTTAAATAAATGGCACAATACAAAGATTATGATAAAATTAACTTTTATACAAGAGCTTTTTTTTTCGTCAATCGCGCGTAGCAGTACCTATATTTTTCTGGTCAAATGTCGAAATTACATTTTATGATTGAATTGAATACTAATTAATTTTTTGGTATTCAATTGGATTCAATATGGATTTTTACATTTTTATCCGCAGACATACACTTCTTAGTAGCATCAATATTTATCTGCTACATACAACAACAAGCAAAATAGCTTACAAAATCTATACTGAAATACTAAAATAGTTTGTCTAGAGAAATCAATCCCAATAATTTAAGTCAATCTTTGGTTTGTTGTGGCAGAATGAATAATTTTTATTTTTACTTCGCTACAATTTTTTCTTACGAAAAAAAAAATTCAGGCAGGAGAAAATTGTTTATAATTACTATTTTAAAAAATGTGTTAGTCATAATTGGATTGTCTAAAAAAAAACATTTAAATATTTTCTCTCGTGAAACAAGATTTTTTTTTATATTTTGTTTTGCTGAATTTAAAAAAAAATCTGACTTTTTCATTTTTTTTTTAGGAAAATCAGTTTTTTTCTCTATTTGTAGGTATTAAAGTATTTTCAATGGCATCTTACAAACCAAAGACTGACCAATTGAATTCTTTTTGGTTTTAAATGTAATTTTTCTGACCTGTCCAATTAATTGCGAATCCAAAAATAATAACAAAAGCGAGGAAACTTTCAGTTGACACCGCAATTATTTGTACTTCCGGTTGTGTTTTTTTTTAATTATTTTTTCTCAATGCTTATCTCCCTTTGATCGACTCTTGTTTGTATTATGTTTTTCTTTACACATACACTGATACTGTAACACGCTATTTTTACAGATTGTCTAGATTTTTAGAATTTTTTTTATACTTAAAAAAAAAAATTAAATGTCACGGTACCCTGATTTTATTATTAATAACATGAAACGACACAGTGAGACCTAAAACAAGGTTCCAAACATTGAAAAACACAAAAATAGAATGGGAGCTGAGAACAGTGTTCTGGAAGATTGCGATATTGGAAAAGCTTTGCCTGTTGTGTCCGATGTAGACTGGATTCTCCGGGAAGCTGTACGAAAAAATAACATGACCACACCTTCGTCTTCACTGGCCGTGTTTACCCTTAAAAAGAAAGACAGTCGAAGAGAATGTGACATTATACAACTAAACGCTAAAGTATGTGGTTACTTTTTTATTTTTTAATTCTAACATTCTCACTAAACGTTTTTTAAAAAAATGTTTAAGTGCAAGCAGTTCTCGTGTTTAAATAAATTAAAATTAATTAAAAATATATCAGTAACTTTGATATGAGAGTTACTGATATATTTATTTTATTCTTTCTACTTTCTTCCCATGTTGAAGATTTTTCTGTTCTGTTATGTAATGATTTATAAATTAATACAAAAATATGTTGCAGAGGATTTTTTTTCACTAACGTCACAATTAATTATTTCTCTTCATTTGTCATTGTTTTGGTAGTAATGATTATCTAAATTTCTTTCTTTAAAATTACTATTTAAAATTTTGTCATACATTTTCTTCTTGGGTCTTATAAAAAACAAAACAGTAACTTTTTCATTTAATAACATTATTATTTATTTTAATTTAAAAAATGTGTTACAATTTTCTTTAAAAAAAGAACATCTCGGCTCATTTACTTTTTAACTCTTAGTCTTAGACTAAATTAAAAAAAATTAAGCAGAAAGCCTTTTCTTTTAGTTTTAAAAATGGTATATCCTTTCAGCTAAACATTCAAAATAAAAATCTTTTAAGTCGCTTAAAAAATGAAGGAATATTATTTTGGTCAACGTGGGCGCGTCGCTACTATCAAGGTCATCGTTTGATGTACGGAAACTAACAAACAAATGAAATCACTCGTTGCATTACACTGCATTTGAAGGTGTCAAACGTTGATTTCAATTTTTCCTTTGTGTGAAACCTTTTTTTTTATGACTCAATGTTCGTAAAAAATCGGTAAAAACAAACAACTGAACAGTGAACACTGACAAAACAGTTGTCATGTAATAAATAAATGCATGTTTTGTTTGACAGCCTATCTCTATCATGTGAAATGGTTTATTGTTTAACAAATAATTGATTTCCGGAGTTGGGCGGTACCAAAATCCAAGTTTCAAAGACTGTTCTGACTACACAATAATACATACCTGCATTTGCATTACTAAAAACAACCAGAAAATAGTGACATTTTTTACCCACTATAATGGTGAGATACTTCTAGAGATCGTTGTTTTCATATTTAATTTGTATGTATATTGTATGCGCTTAAAGGATTGTCCCAAGTACACCAGCTGCATGACTCATCTCCATAACATTGGTTGTGAATGCAACCAGTTCAAAATACAGGTGATGTTTTATTAACCCCTAAATATTTTGGTTAAAAAATGGCGATATAATGATTACGTAATTTTTTTTAAAGTACTAGGTATCTCCACGAAATCGCTAAAAAAAAAGAGCATAGCTTGTTGAAATAGACGCCAACCTTGCCGAAAACAAAATTTTATCGTCTAAATGCTTATGTTATTATTAAGAGGAAAGACCAAAGTTTTTTTAATTATTTTTTAAAAAATTTTCTTCTTTTTAAAACATTCTAAATTTTGATTAAAAAAAACTTTGTTTCTCTTTGTATCACCGGAACTAGTAAAATAACATAGACAATTTTTAGCACGTTGTATGACACACATTAATTTGGAAAATCTTGCAAAAATAAAAATAATTGTCGGATGTTAATGAAACTTTCAGGAACTATTCACAGATGATCGAAATTATTATAAATATGTTTTTTTTTTTTTTTTTATTAAAGTCATGGCAGAAATATTTTTTTTATATTTATTACCCCCCCCCAAACATAACTAATTTTATGAAAACGCTAGAAATTCGATCGCATCTGGTTTCGTTTAGTGATTACAATAGTTACGAGCACAAGTCTTTGAGGAATGCAAATTAAGTTTTTTTTTTTTGTTTTTAATTGGTCCCCCACCTGAAAATCAGCTCTGAATTGTAACATACAAAAGTGACAAAACTCAATAAAACAAAGATATTATTTAATTTCAAATGCTTTTATGAATATGGACAATATTTTCTGAAAGCAAAAGTTTTTTCGATGAAAAATGAATTTTTAATACAATTATTTGTTATTTCTTAATTATAATAGATTTTTACATTTAAGTTGTTAAAATATTATAAAATTAATTAAAAACCGCATAGGGTTTCCTAAGTCTCCTTATGAGATAGATCTTTTTTTAGTGCGTTGTAAATTGTATCATTTTGACTAATCAAAAGATCCACAGTAATTAAGAAATGTAATTTTGTGTTTATAATCGGGCTGTAATTATAATGTACGGAAGACCAGCCAGAATACAATTAAGTTGCATTATTTGAGTTAAGCATTGTTTTCCGCTGTTAAGGCCTTTACTTTTGCGAAACATGTGTGGAGAAGTTAATTTGATTTTTCAATTTCAATTGAGAAGGGTACCTACAAGTATCAGTATCATCTTATGAAATTTATGATCTTATTTTTATATTAATCTCAGTTATGACATTTTTCCATAAATGAAATATCAAAATTAATAATAAAATGAATGGAAATACAAATAACACAGTAAAATGTAATAAATGTACATAAAATTATAGTATTTTATGTACATTCTGATAAAATTTCATAAGAAAGGTACCTATAAATTAATTAGATACCTTTCTTATAAAATTTAATCTCACTCTTAAGTCTTATTTTAATTTCTTTATACTATATTTTCCATAAAGCATCATAAATGTAAAGGTGAAAGCTAAGTGCAAAAAAAAAATTGGAGCGCTGAAAGTTTTCCTTAAAAATACCGAGGTAAATAATTTGTTCACTTAAATGTAAATTATTTCACTTTTCTCCTTCCGTAAAACAAATTATCCTCATGGAATCTGTCAATATGTCACCTGTCAAGTGAGGCGAAAGTTTATGACCTGCTTTGTTTTATTTTCAAATTACATCTTTTTGGCACAGAACTAAGTTAAGCTTGGTTCAAAATATTTTAAATAAACATTATAATTTCTCATTTTCTTAAAATATGTTTTGAAAAAATGATAATTGATATTTAAAAGAATTTCAAAGTGAGATTTCCAGTTTTTTTATAAAATGGAAAAAATGGTCAATTTTACTGACTCAAAAAAAACTAGATTTTTAACGAAAATTTTGGACATGCTAGGAACGATTAAAAAATGTAAAAAATACCCCGAAAATACTTTGATCTTTCCTCTTAATAATAACATAAACATTTAGACGATAAAATTTTGTTTTCATCAAGTTTGGCGTCTTTTTCATCATGCTATGCTCTTTGTTTAGCGATCTCGTGGAAGTACCTAAGTACAGTAGACATCATGTCTTCGATTTTAGTATGGCCTGCTCACCTGAACAATTTCAAAGCCATTAATGTCATAAGACGCCTGATATATCCTTCATCAGTTTGGCTTACTTCATGGCTGAGATATTTACTAAGTCTTTCAAATGAGAACTTCATACCCTGAAAATAAAAAGTCAAGATTACTGGTGCCAATGACAAATCTATTTCACAAGCTTCCTGATTGAAATAGTTACATGTTTCCTATCAATGTTAAGAGTCAGTGTTTATAATCAAATAAAGGGATTTCAGGTGCTGACATTTTAGGCAGGTTCTTCTCATTTAAAACCTGACACTGCATAATTTTCATGCTCTTTGATCTGTATTAAGTTACACTTTGTATCAATATTCAATTTGCAAAGATCTAGTTTATAAGATTAAATCTACTCTTTATAAATACTTTATTGCATTTTAGTGATAGGTAAATAGATGTAGAAACAGTAAAATAAGAGAATAGACAGGAAAGAAAAAGTAAATGTATCCAGTATATAGGAGGGTATATAAAAAAAAGTTACAGAAGAATATTTCAAGTTTACTCTCTACAAGGTTGGAAGCAGTTTATAGAACTCAACTTAGATGCAATGGTGCACAGAAAGAGAGGCATCGGGTGAAACAGCTCTGAGCAGCCATATTGGGGGATGGGTTTTATCCAATTGAAGAGTGAAATAAGAATTTAGTTTTTGAAATTGCCCCTGTTAACTTTGTACAAATGTCAAAAAGCCCTTCTTGTAGGGCTTACATGAAGAAATACCTGAACCTCATAGTTCAACTCCACCATTTGACTATAATAAGTACTGAACTTCAACTGTTGCTGAAAAGAAAAAAAATAGAAAGCTATAACTGAATGGATTGTTGAGGTTATATAATTTCTGGCAAAAGAGTAGACATCGAGAAAGAGGATTAGTTTATCAGAGAAGACAATGAATACACAGGAAATTTTTTACCAGCAATCAGACTCTTGATCAATTATGGTGCAATCTTAGAAAATGAAACCAAGAAGTGTTATTTACTTGTCCAACAGAAGTCAGAAACAAAATTATCTATTTTTATGAAACTGTCAAAGAAAAAAAGTTTCCAAAATTAAGAATGAATTATTTTGGTATAATGCTGGATTCAATTCCAGAGATTGCCTATGAAGATCAGTTTTCTGAAACTCTGCATTATATTCATATTGATGAAAACAGAAATGTAGAAATCAAGGATGTATTTCTGAATTTTTTTTTAAATTAACAAGAAAGATACAATCAGTTTGGTAAATAAAATTCTGGAAAAATTGAAACCAGATAAAATATCCATATATGACTGTCACAGCCAAGCATATGATAATGCAGTAGTTATGGCTGGAGTGAGTGGAGGTGTTCAGCAAAAAATTCTTGAACTCAAAAGCTGTGTTTGTGAATTGTGAAAACCACAGTCTCAGTTTGGCCTATGTCTCTGCAAATGAGGTACCATTGTTGTTATTACATTTTTTTTAGAGTTGTGGAAAGACTGTTTCCTTTTTTGTAACCATAACTTCTATTCTAATAGTTTCTTCTTTTGTACTTCTCAATTGTGAAATTTTTTTTCTGGTTTCTTGCTTCTCAGCCAACTATGATTTTCAAAAATTTAAATAAAATGTCAATCGCCATCTTCTGTCTTCCGGAATCTCATCCTTTTATTGTCCTTTCTCCTCACTAATATTTTCTCATTTTCTTTGACTCTCAGTAACTCCTTGTGTCTTAATAGCATTATTACTTTGCTTAGGGTGAAATTATTGAAAAAACAAAAGTG